AGACAAAGTCGTTGGAGAGCGTAGCCGTTCGGGTTTTGCCGAAGTAGAGAGAGAGAGACCATAGGCAAAAAAATACCTTTTATAAGAGGACCTTATTTGTTGCTAAAAAAGTTCGAAGGGTAGACCTCTTTAATGAGCAAATATTGTCTCCGTGTTTCCAAAATTTTCAAAGAAAACTCCGAAAACAAGTTTAATTTGTTTTCTATTTTTTTGCTCTAATTCTCATTTTTTTCTCAAAATTTTGATAACAAAAATACTAAACAAACAAATTTTAGGTGTTTTAAAAATATTGAGAACAGAAAACAATTTTCAGAACGCAAACCAAACGCCCCCCCTAAATTCTCGTGTTTTGAAATATTTCAAAATCAAAATTTAAGTTTATCTCCGTTTTCATTGTGTTTTTGAATCATTTCTATAATGATTTTTTGTTTCAGAGTTAATTAAAACAATGATCGGAACGAAAATTTTGAACTCTCTCCCTTTCTGAGACACTTTACATCAAAACTAAAAATCCCAGAATTATAACAAAGAATTGAACAATTTTTTAATTTTTTTTTTTTGTGCATTGTAGGCTGGTTGATCCAAGTGAAGTAAGTTCGTATCAAAAAATATTTCACTTATACTCGATTCATTTATTAATTCGTGTCTAATAAATCATATCATATCAGGTTCATATCATGTATGAATCATGTGTAACCGATTCATAAACGAGTCATATCGTATATTTTTTTGATTGACTTCACCTATACTCACTTTGTTTATTAATTATATCGTGTCAAATCCACTTATTTACGACCTAAATGACTTAAAAAAAATCTAAATTTTTAAATTTTCTATCTTATTAACAAGTCACGTCATATTTTAATTTTAACGCGTTTATAGTTTATACTGTGTGCTTGAGACCCACCAAGCACATGAAAATTCTTCAAACAGACACGGTACCAGAAACTCCATCGTGAAATTTCTTGAAACGGACACAGCACCAGAAACTCCATCATACCATGCATAGGCCAGCCAGTTGTGTTAGCCCATTCTGAGGGACATTACTTTTATTAGGGTGGGATTATTTTCATCCTCTCTGGCCTATCCTCTTTCTGGTGGCATCTGGATAGTCTTGACATGACACACCACTTCGTTTTATTTTTCATCCAATTGCTCTTAACATAGCATCTAAGCCGGTAGTTTAATGGTAAGTCGTATCTGTTTAAGGTCGTCCTTAACTTTTATACAGTTATCAAACAGAGTTCGATGCACAAAAGTAACGCAGTTTTGTTGTTTGACTTTNGTGTCTAATAAATCATATCATATCAGGTTCATATCATGTATGAATCATGTGTAACCGATTCATAAACGAGTCATATCGTATATTTTTTTGATTGACTTCACCTATACTCACTTTGTTTATTAATTATATCGTGTCAAATCCACTTATTTACGACCTAAATGACTTAAAAAAAATCTAAATTTTTAAATTTTCTATCTTGTTAACAAGTCACGTCATATTTTAATTTTAACGCGTTTATAGTTTATACTGTGTGCTTGAGACCCACCAAGCACATGAAAATTCTTCAAACAGACACGGTACCAGAAACTCCATCGTGAAAATTCTTGAAACGGACACAGCACCAGAAACTCCATCATACCATGCATAGGCCAGCCAGTTGTGTTAGCCCATTCTGAGGGACATTACTTTTATTAGGGTGGGATTATTTTCATCCTCTCTGGCCTATCCTCTTTCTGGTGGCATCTGGATAGTCTTGACATGACACACCACTTCGTTTTATTTTTCATCCAATTGCTCTTAACATAGCATCTAAGCCGGTAGTTTAATGGTAAGTCGTATCTGTTTAAGGTCGTCCTTAACTTTTATACAGTTATCAAACAGAGTTCGATGCACAAAAGTAACGCAGTTTTGTTGTTTGACTTTAATCGTGTTGTGGTGACGGACTATCTTATTGAATTACTAGTTATAACTCGATTTATGTATTAAAAAAGTGTATTTTACATGCTCATAAAATATCATGGACCCCACAGGAAACCACTAATAATGATTAATTTCAAATTAATTAGTTTTAGCATTAGAGTAGGCAGATATTAGGAAGAACAATACCTTTGGGAGGATGGTAATGGGCTAAAAGACAATGTAATGCCCATTATTTAACTTCCAGAATTGAATAAACAAATATCAAACAGCTGTTTATGACTCACCCAAGAGTCATCATTTTGAATTGTCTTATTTACTTGGTTGTTTTGTGGGATAAGGAAACAACATAGCAAAGATTGGAGACAATGGACAGATCACTCGAGAATCCTAAGAATCAGTAGGTGTAAATTTAAGTGTCTTGAATTTAAATATTGACATTTTTTTGGAGTTAGACTATAATAAATTTATCTCTGATGAATGTCCTAATTCCGACATAAATAGTCTAATAAAAGAATTAGTCGAAATATACGTAAACTGATTCTAACATCCATGACCGTTAAATTTAAAAAAAAACCCTGGCAACTTTCAACATAGTTTGGATTATGCCCATCTCTTTCACATAGCATTCAGATTCAGGGTCGTTAGTAAATTCCTTCAACCCTTGCTGTATTAAATCATCAATCATGAGTGACAAGACTGAAATTTTACAAGTTGGGGGAGGAGGAAACTGAGGCCTAATAATCGAACTGAACATCTATATCCGCAAATAATCGAACCGAACATCTATAATATAAAATAAAATAAATTTTAAGAACCGAACATCTATAATACAAAATAAAACAAATTTTAATAAACTCATTCGACAATTTCAAATAGACTTATCCAACAGTCACTAATATCGCTCTCAAAACCATTCACATTATACCATATCTTCAAACACGGGTTATCCCTAATAACAAACATAGCAAGAAAAGTTAAAAATTCAATTCCATCCAAATAACCCAATTATTCGTTTAATTCAATCCATAAATTTCAAGAAGCAAGTGGTATACCTCATTTAAGAGAGACAGGGAATATCCATTCTTTTGCATTTCAATTCAAAATCAGAAACACGAATCACATTCTATCCAATAAACCTTTAAACAGAACNTATTTTCATCCTCTCTGGCCTATCCTCTTTCTGGTGGCATCTGGATAGTCTTGACATGACACACCACTTCGTTTTATTTTTCATCCAATTGCTCTTAACATAGCATCTAAGCCGGTAGTTTAATGGTAAGTCGTATCTGTTTAAGGTCGTCCTTAACTTTTATACAGTTATCAAACAGAGTTCGATGCATAAAAGTAACGCAGTTTTGTTGTTTGACTTTGATCGTGTTGTGGTGACGAACTATCTTATTGAATTACTAGTTATAACTCGATTTATGTATTAAAAAAGTGTATTTTACATGCTCATAAAATATCATGGACCCCACAGGAAACCACTAATAATGATTAATTTCAAATTAATTAGTTTTAGCATTAGAGTAGGCAGATATTAGGAAGAACAATACCTTTGGGAGGATGGTAATGGGCTAAAAGACAATGTAATGCCCATTATTTAACTTCCAGAATTGAATAAACAAATATCAAACAGCTGTTTATGACTCACCCAAGAGTCATCATTTTGAATTGTCTTATTTACTTGGTTGTTTTGTGGGATAAGGAAACAACATAGCAAAGATTGGAGACAATGGACAGATCACTCGAGAATCCTGAGAATCCGTAGGCGTAAATTTAAGTGTCTTGAATTTAAATATTGACATTTTTTTGGAGTTAGACTATAAGAAATTTATCTCTGATGAATGTCCTAATTCCGACATAAATAGTCTAATAAAAGAATTAGTCGAAATATTCTAACATCCATGACCGTTAAATTTAAAAAAAAACCCTGGTAGGATCTTAGGTAGCCAAATTGCAATTGGTTGATTCTTAGTACGAAGTTAGGTGGCCAAATTGCAATTTGTTGACTATAGCCAACTTTCAACATAGTTTGGATTATGCCCATCTCTTTCACATAGCATTCAGATTCAGGGTCGTTAGTAAATTCCTTCAACCCTTGCTGTATTAAATCATCAATCATGAGTGACAAGACTGAAATTTTACAAGTTGGGGGAGGAGGAAACTGAGGCCTAATAATCGAACTGAACATCTATATCCGCAAATAATCGAACCGAACATCTATAATATAAAATAGAATAAATTTTAAGAACCGAACATCTATAATACAAAATAAAACAAATTTTAATAAACTCATTCGACAATTTCAAATAGACTTATCCAACAGTCACTAATATCGCTCTCAAAACCATTCACATTATACCATATCTTCAAACACGGGTTATCCCTAATAACAAACATAGCAAGAAAAGTTAAAAATTCAATTCCATCCAAATAACCCAATTATTCGTTTAATTCAATCCATAAATTTCAAGAAGCAAGTGGTATACCTCATTTAAGAGAGACAGGGAATATCCATTCTTTTGCATTTCAATTCAAAATCAGAAACACGAATCACATTCTATCCAATAAACCTTTAAACAGAACGTTGTTTAAAAAAGAATCTTTATTCTAATAGAATGGATATGATTTCGACTTCCATGACTGCACCCCTATGAACGATTTACATGTTAAATACATGCATTTCAAAATTCCAATGCCACTAAATACACATAGTGAAAGAGAAGATACAAGGAAGACGAGGGAGAATACAACAATAATTGATCATGTCTCCTCCAATTCACTTGGCAGTACGGCAAGTATCATCCCATGATGCCATCAGAAAGAGCAAAAATTAACTGAAGCACTTGGACCAAGCACAGCCTCAGCAAACAAAAGGTAAAGGTACACACCCCAGCAACCAAATCGACAAGCTGGTTCTTCAGACAGTTTAGTCCTAACTAATATTAGTGTACATCAGTGGACATATCAATGCAGTGGCGGGAGGTTTGTGCATTGGGCCACGGGCTGCCATTTTTCATTGGCAGATACATATCAGAACAAGAGCCCACTTTTGATCCAAGATTTCCATTGACATCTAGGAGTTGTCAAACAGACACCTGCGTATAGTTGTTGCAAGTTTGCCAACCTCCCGTGGGTGGAGAAGGACTGCACATAGTCCACAACAAACAGCAGCAGCAATAACAAAGATAAGAGGACGAGATGTCAAAATGGGATTAGTAAATAGGTGACTGTAAGATTTCCTCGGCTGTTCCTTAACAAGATTTATGCTCATGACAAAATCCTCATTTAAAAGTGGAACAGTTCCACTTCTGTCTGAAGACGTTAAACCCACAATGGCATCCAACTTGCATTTATGTGTTACCTCCATATCCTGCAAATTTAAAACCAAATATACTAGATTAACATGAGATAGATGTAAGCCTTCTTAGATTCAAAATCCCCCTTGAAAAGAGGGGAAATAATGAGTCCTCGTATGAGACAATCAGATTATTGACATGACTCGTTAAGAAAAAAAAATTGTAAGCTGGTAAACGATTCTGGAGAACGGATTATGCCCCACATGAATGTCTGATCCAACTTTCCATTCAACCATAAGTGATCCCACACATAAAGGTTCGATGATCTCAATACCCATACTTTTCTGATTGTGATGTGATTTCAAGTATAAGCCAAAAGATAATACAAGAAAGCAAAAACAGAAAAACTACCAAAATCGCAGTAAAATCCACCAAATCTCCAATCCACTACATTTCTTTATGTTATTTGTACCAGTAACAGGTTTATGGATGAGTGTTCTTGAAGTAGTCGGTCTAACCCTGAACCTACATGCCTATGACTTCGTTTCTAAGGAAATTCAAGCAGCGGAATTTGAGACTGTCTACACCAAAAATATTCTCTTAAACGAAGGTATATGTGCTTGGATGGCGGCTCAAGATTAGCCTCATGAAAACCTTATATTTCCTGAGGAGGTCCTACCACGAGGAAACGCTCCTCCCCCCCAACCCCAAAAACAAAACTCAAAAAAGATCAAATCTGCAGCAACAAATTCTGTCAATCTTGCTCTATGGAATTAAAATGCCAAATACCAAACCCAAGAGGCAAAAAAAGAGAAGAAAAAAGGGGAAGACCCACCGCCGAGGTGGGGCAATCCAGTGCATACTCTAGCTGTATAAAAGAAACAGGCAGAGTAATATAAATAAGGGTGATATGCACAAACTTTTAAGAACGTGTCAAACAGGTTAGGACAATTTAAAGCCTTGTAGGTTCAAAATTCTGACATTAGAAAAACCTAATTCCAATGTGAACGAGGGCATAACTGCATGTTGCCCCATTGATCCAGGAATAAATACTTTCTTTCCTAAAAGACAATGTGGCAGCGTTGCTCACCAGCACATAAATAACTAGAAATTGAAGAGGCATCAACACAGAAAAATATCCAATGTAGTGAAAATTTATACCCGACTGGCAACTGGAACTACAGAAAGCACCTCTTTTACAAAGCTTTGATCACAATCCCCTTTTTGCACAAGATTGCTTGAATCCAGCTTCGAACCCCCTTTTTCCTGAATTGTCTGACAAAGGATATCTCTAGCGTTACCCATATGCTTCTTCAATAGACTCAGATCAGCCTCAGCAATGCCAGTGGCCAGACTGCTATCCATCACAAGCTTCATATAGTATGTTGCTCTCTCCAAGATCGCAATGGACTCATTTTGTATTAAAAAGCTCAACAAAAAGTTAAATCTTTGTATCTGAGAAGCTGTCAGAATGTGCTGCACGTTTCTTGATGCAGGCTTCTTGAGTAACCATGCTATATCTAAAGTAAATTCAGAGAACTTTCTTTGCCTCGATACACAAACTTGACAGGAAGAACTAGTATCCTCAAACTGTGATTCTTCTGAAGAGACAGATGCATCAAGTTTCTGCTGCATTATCTTCATTTCAGAACATATTTCTTGGTCCCCAATCAGAATGGGAATGAAGTTGGATAGTCCAGACTCATTTTCAACCTACAAAAGAATATTTAAAAATAATCTGCACCTGAATTGTATGTTTCTAGATGAAGCTCAAAGATAGTATGTTTCCATATGAAGTTATGAGCGCATAAAATTCTCTTAATTGTCCACCCTTAAGCACGGATTCCCAATTTTCCATCCATAGTACAACATTTTAAATTCTTGCAAGTTGCAACCCACAAGCATAATCTGATTATGGTGACAAGAAACAAGAAGTCAAGTGTCCAGATGATTTAGGCTATTAAAGAAATGGGGGCACATAATATGCCACAAAACTTCAGAGTCATTAACCAATATAGGTGTTACCAAAGCATACCAGTATTGATGTTAACTGATAAGACATCCAACATGTGATGAGACAACATATACCAAGAACAAGGATGCCCATAAAATCCTACCTCAATGAATGCAGGGCCAAAAACATCCGGTTCTGTATGAGGGACATGTAATTGGACTAATTGATGGGTAAAACCACCGGTACTGGCATCTGCAGTCTTACCAGACATCGGTGGAACACAAAGGTCACATGCCAGATACTTCCCAGCAAAAGATACAAGAAACCTAGCATCAGCATTCCATAAATGCAATGAACAGTGTGAGACGAATTTTACTATTTGCACAGAACACTAAAGCAAAACGATATATAAATAAACTAACCTCACTGCAAGTTTTCAAAGCACTCAGAGAATTAGTAAAAGACCAACATAAGTATACTTAAGTTAAATTATACCATAAGACCAACATTAGCATAGAAGTCGATGTAATTTAATACCTAGATTTGGGTTGAAGTAAATTACTCCCGCATGCAACAAATTCCAAGGGCTTGCCAGCCTCAAAACATGTGGGATGAATATAGTGAAGCTTTGGGGTATGTTCCCCCACCTTGACTTTCATCACAGAAATTCCATCTGTGTCCAGAAAAATGCTAAGAACATGTTACAAAGTTCAGACAAGCTCAAACAACCAAAATGATACCTTAGAGATCCTGCAAGTTAGAAATCAATCATTAAGAAAGAAAACAACATGAAATTTGGAAAACAGCTCACGAATGCTTCTCAATGGTACTCGTCAATTTACATAAAGTGTACAATAAGGTTTACACACAATGTGATGGGTATTTGTAAAATAAAAGGATGGATATATACTTAAAACAAAGATGCAATAGGCAGCAAGTAGCAAAAAAACAATTATAGAGGAGACTAGTCAACATAGCTAACAACACAATTAGATCAACAGGCTGGATTGACATCAAACTTTTTCGCACCAATTACAGTAGAACTACAAGGCTTGCAGAAAAAGAGGTGATGTATTTTATGTCACTTTTTGACGATTTAGCTTTAGTAAATGAAACTAGAGAGGGTTTCCATGACCATCCATATAAGAAGATTATACACACAAAGTTGTCAATAGATAGGTAGAGGTGTCTAACATTTCATAAAGCAGCAAAACGGAAAAAATTCGCCAAAAAAACCCATGTTCAAAGCTGCGATCACATACAAAGCAGCAGTATAGTGATAATAATGTTGTTGAATATAAACATACCATCCATGACACGAAATATCATGTTGTTTAGGTGAATAAGGAAGCTGTTTCTTCCCGATAGCATGTTTCCAGGTGTAACAACAAAGTCGTGTATACTTTCTTTAGGATCTTCCAGAAACTGTCCAATGCAATGTAAAAAAGAGTCAAGATCATGAAGACCAAACTTAGAGATATACACAGAAATCCACACAACTAAAAGGCCATAATANCTACCACGAGGAAACGCTCCTCCCCCCCCAACCCCAAAAACAAAACTCAAAAAAGATCAAATCTGCAGCAACAAATTCTGTCAATCTTGCTCTATGGAATTAAAATGCCAAATACCAAACCCAAGAGGCAAAAAAAGAGAAGAAAAAAGGGGAAGACCCACCGCCGAGGTGGGGCAATCCAGTGCATACTCTAGCTGTATAAAAGAAACAGGCAGAGTAATATAAATAAGGGTGATATGCACAAACTTTTAAGAACGTGTCAAACAGGTTAGGACAATTTAAAGCCTTGTAGGTTCAAAATTCTGACATTAGAAAAACCTAATTCCAATGTGAACGAGGGCATAACTGCATGTTGCCCCATTGATCCAGGAATAAATACTTTCTTTCCTAAAAGACAATGTGGCAGCGTTGCTCACCAGCACATAAATAACTAGAAATTGAAGAGGCATCAACACAGAAAAATATCCAATGTAGTGAAAATTTATACCCGACTGGCAACTGGAACTACAGAAAGCACCTCTTTTACAAAGCTTTGATCACAATCCCCTTTTTGCACAAGATTGCTTGAATCCAGCTTCGAACCCCCTTTTTCCTGAATTGTCTGACAAAGGATATCTCTAGCGTTACCCATATGCTTCTTCAATAGACTCAGATCAGCCTCAGCAATGCCAGTGGCCAGACTGCTATCCATCACAAGCTTCATATAGTATGTTGCTCTCTCCAAGATCGCAATGGACTCATTTTGTATTAAAAAGCTCAACAAAAAGTTAAATCTTTGTATCTGAGAAGCTGTCAGAATGTGCTGCACGTTTCTTGATGCAGGCTTCTTGAGTAACCATGCTATATCTAAAGTAAATTCAGAGAACTTTCTTTGTCTCGATACACAAACTTGACAGGAAGAACTAGTATCCTCAAACTGTGATTCTTCTGAAGAGACAGATGCATCAAGTTTCTGCTGCATTATCTTCATTTCAGAACATATTTCTTGGTCCCCAATCAGAATGGGAATGAAGTTGGATAGTCCAGACTCATTTTCAACCTACAAAAGAATATTTAAAAATAATCTGCACCTGAATTGTATGTTTCTAGATGAAGCTCAAAGATAGTATGTTTCCATATGAAGTTATGAGCGCATAAAATTCTCTTAATTGTCCACCCTTAAGCACGGATTCCCAATTTTCCATCCATAGTACAACATTTTAAATTCTTGCAAGTTGCAACCCACAAGCATAATCTGATTATGGTGACAAGAAACAAGAAGTCAAGTGTCCAGATGATTTAGGCTATTAAAGAAATGGGGGCACATAATATGCCACAAAACTTCAGAGTCATTAACCAATATAGGTGTTACCAAAGCATACCAGTATTGATGTTAACTGATAAGACATCCAACATGTGATGAGACAACATATACCAAGAACAAGGATGCCCATAAAATCCTACCTCAATGAATGCAGGGCCAAAAACATCCGGTTCTGTATGAGGGACATGTAATTGGACTAATTGATGGGTAAAACCACCGGTACTGGCATCTGCAGTCTTACCAGACATCGGTGGAACACAAAGGTCACATGCCAGATACTTCCCAGCAAAAGATACAAGAAACCTAGCATCAGCATTCCATAAATGCAATGAACAGTGTGAGACGAATTTTACTATTTGCACAGAACACTAAAGCAAAACGATATATAAATAAACTAACCTCACTGCAAGTTTTCAAAGCACTCAGAGAATTAGTAAAAGACCAACATAAGTATACTTAAGTTAAATTATACCATAAGACCAACATTAGCATAGAAGTCGATGTAATTTAATACCTAGATTTGGGTTGAAGTAAATTACTCCCGCATGCAACAAATTCCAAGGGCTTGCCAGCCTCAAAACATGTGGGATGAATATAGTGAAGCTTTGGGGTATGTTCCCCCACCTTGACTTTCATCACAGAAATTCCATCTGTGTCCAGAAAAATGCTAAGAACATGTTACAAAGTTCAGACAAGCTCAAACAACCAAAATGATACCTTAGAGATCCTGCAAGTTAGAAATCAATCATTAAGAAAGAAAACAACATGAAATTTGGAAAACAGCTCACGAATGCTTCTCAATGGTACTCGTCAATTTACATAAAGTGTACAATAAGGTTTACACACAATGTGATGGGTATTTGTAAAATAAAAGGATGGATATATACTTAAAACAAAGATGCAATAGGCAGCAAGTAGCAAAAAAACAATTATAGAGGAGACTAGTCAACATAGCTAACAACACAATTAGATCAACAGGCTGGATTGACATCAAACTTTTTCGCACCAATTACAGTAGAACTACAAGGCTTGCAGAAAAAGAGGTGATGTATTTTATGTCACTTTTTGACGATTTAGCTTTAGTAAATGAAACTAGAGAGGGTTTCCATGACCATCCATATAAGAAGATTATACACACAAAGTTGTCAATAGATAGGTAGAGGTGTCTAACATTTCATAAAGCAGCAAAACGGAAAAAGTTCGCCAAAAAAACCCATGTTCAAAGCTGCGATCACATACAAAGCAGCAGTATAGTGATAATAATGTTGTTGAATATAAACATACCATCCATGACACGAAATATCATGTTGTTTAGGTGAATAAGGAAGCTGTTTCTTCCCGATAGCATGTTTCCAGGTGTAACAACAAAGTCGTGTATACTTCCTTTAGGATCTTCCAGAAACTGTCCAATGCAATGTAAAAAAGAGTCAAGATCATGAAGACCAAACTTAGAGATATACACAGAAATCCACACAACTAAAAGGCCATAATAGAAAAACAAACATCAAATACAATACAATATATAGAGATGTTATGAATATTAAAGTTCATGAGTATAACTACATTCCGGATCTTAAATTGATGCTCATATTGTAAGTGATACTGACAATCCAAAAGNATAGAAACAAACATCAAATACAATACAATATATAGAGATGTTATGAATATTAAAGTTCATGAGTATAACCACATTCCGGATCTTAAATTGATGCTCATATTGTAAGTGATACTGACAATCCAAAAGGGTTCTTCGACAATATAGAGCAATTCTTAATTATGTTGAAGACAACATGCCTCGTATCACAAACCTCAGGATAAGTATCTAACTACTTTAACCTCCATTCACCAAGCATTGGAAGATAACCAATATAATATCAAAATATAGGTTCCACAAATATATGTTACCTTAACCCACATAAACTTTGGCATTGCAATGAACATAGTCAAAATTACACATCCAGGACGGATATATCCCTCCAACTCAACAGGCATGCTGGCCAACCACATAAATATCTGTAAAAACATTTACCCTCATGTCAATCAACCTCCAGGATCTCTGGTAAAGTAAGCATTAATATCCTTTCAGTACTAAACTGTAATAATAATCCTTTAAATACTTGGTGCCGAAGTCTTCGAGGGAACTCTGCAGGATTCCAATCGTAAAGCTTGAATGAGATCCGACCAGTTGGGCACTACAGAAGTATATCTAATCAGTTTGTCACAAGTCCAATAAATCTCAGAGGGCCAAAAAAAAAAGTGGTAAAGTAACAGCGCCGGCATTCATTGAGAACCTACCGCAGAGGAGAAAGCAGTCCTATTGTCACAATAGGACGGAGAATGAGTGAATTTGGCATTATCTTTTCCCCCATCAATTTGGGCTTCACCGGAGGCCACAAAAGATACACCGCTATCACTCTGGATATTTTGGGAACAGTGAGCTGAATCAAGGGTCAAAATATGTCCTTCAGATTCCACTAATGTTTCCCTTTCCTCTATTTGGCTAACCAAACATATGCTATCTGTGCCAAAGAGAACTCTTTTAGGCCATCAAGCAACTCCAACTACATTAACGCAAGCTACCTTCGAAGGGAAAACAAGGTGAGTCTATACAATTATACAATCTATTAAGTCCAAAATACGAGTAATAGTGTGATAAGCCCATCAAACGTATCCGTGCCGGTACGGACCTTCTAGCACCAAATGTAATGTATACAGGATCATTTTCTAGAATCTATATATAAGATCATACCCTTAATTCACCTGGATTTGGATATACCTTTTCCAGTTTCATCATCACAACCAACTTCTTCAGCCGACAGCACAGGTTGAGGTTCCAGTTCAGCGGTCCCTTTGGAATCTGTAGATTTTCTGCGTCGTCTGTTATTGTGGCGTTCTAATTTCCTTCGACAACTCCGTTTACCTTCATCAAAATCTGACAAAATATGAAACCTGCCAAAGGATGAACACATCAGCTGACAGTAAAATTAAAAAGTAAAAAACTGGTCTCACCACCCCCAAAAAAGAACTCTCTCACATATCCCAACTTTGATATGAATCTGTATACTACTAATAAAAGTACACTATCAAGAAAAACTTTTGATTGACTATTTTACCCTAAAACAAAATATAAAGACAACACTAGCCTATTTAATATAGAGCTCATATTAATAGAACTTCATTAATGCTAAACTTTTAGTTGGATAAGTTTCCTCTCATAATNAATAAAATTAAAAAGTAAAAAACTGGTCTCACCACCCCCAAAAAAGAACACTCTCACATATCCCAACTTTGATATGAATCTATATACTACTAATAAAAGTACACTATCAAGAAAAACTTTTGATTGACTATTTTACCCTAAAACAAAATATAAAGACAACACTAGCCTATTTAATATAGAGCTCATATTAATAGAACTTCATTAATGCTAAACTTTTAGTTGGATAAGTTTCCTCTCATAATTAAGACAATACTAACATTATTAATACATAATTTATATTAATACAACTTCATTAATATTACACACATCCAAGCTTTTCATATTCTTTCTTTTAAAATATAAAAGTTAATTATTGAAATAATTAACTTTATTTTTATTTATGTCTCTATTTTCATTAGTTGATGACAAGTTTCTAAATTTTCAAATGAAATTGTATAAAGGCACTAAGATGTTANTAAAGACAATACTAACATTATTAATACAAAATTTATATTAATACAACTTCATTAATATTACACACATCCAAGCTTTTCATATTCTTTCTTTTAAAATATAAAAGTTAATTATTGAAATAATTAACTTTATTTTTATTTATGTATCTATTTTCATTAGTTGATGACAAGTTTCTAAATTTTCAAATGAAATTGTATAAAGGCACTAAGATGTTATTTAATATAAGATTTATTTTAATATAACTTAGATAATATTATCAAATCTTGACTTTTCATTTTCTTCTCTTTTATGTCTTAGTTTCAATACATCTTTTTTTAGTTATGTGTATTGCCAATATTACAATCCATTTTATTNACTTAGATAATATTATCAAATCTTGACTTTTCATTTCTTCTCTTTTATGTCTTAGTTTCAATACATCTTTTTTTAGTTATGTGTATTGCCAATATTACAATCCATTTTATTTCTATCTGTTAACAATGCCAGAAATATTCAGTATTCCATTAATTTACTTACCACAACTTAACTTCTTTAATTTACTCAACCAATTGTTTATAACTAGATGACCACCATAACTTAAAACAATTTCTCTTTAGTATTACTCATAATTTAATAAGTGACCGTGATACTTTTAAGTTATATATACCCGAATACCACAAAATATATTTATACCACTACTATACTATTACAAACAATATTAATCAAAATTATTAGCTTCATGTGAAAAGTTCTAAACCTTAAGGGTAGAAGTTTACAAGAAAGTAATTCATCAAAACATTAAGAGTTAGTAAAAAAATAAAAACTAATATTCATTCTAAAAAAATATAGTATACAACTATTATAAATTACAAAAATTTTAAAATAGGTATATTTAGATTGTTTGATTGTATGTATGTAGTTGTTATTGTATTTATTTGATTGNGACTATTATAAATTACAAAAATTTTAAAATAAGTATATTTAGATTGTTTGATTGTATGTATGTAGTTGTTATTGTATTTATTTGATTGTTTCAAATTAAAATCTTAACTGATCTAAAAAAAGAAGTTAAAATCTTAATTAAAACAAATTTATAGCTCAAAAAGTCCACGTGCATGATCTAGTCACTTGAAAAGGCCAAAATTTTCATGTTTTTCTCTGCACTTCAACCTCTAAAGGGTTGCAATATGCAAAAGCTCAAACCAGTAAAAGGAGAGTCAATAAAATAATAAATTCTTCAATAAATAACAAGTAGATCCTAAGAAGTAATTCATCAANTGCACTTCAACCTCTAAAGGGTTGCAATATGCAAAAGCTCAAACCAGTAAAAGGAGAGTCATTAAAATAATAAATTCTTCAATAAATAACAAGTAGATCCTAAGAAGTAATTCATCAACAAGGCAGTAACCCTTCAACTTTCATCATTCAGATTTGGTTCAAAATACATCAGAGTGTGTACTTGTGAGTTTTGTCCATTCATATTCAATTTAANAACAAGGCAGTAACCCTTCAACTTTCATCATTCAGATTTGGTTCAAAATACATGAGAGTGTGTACTTGTGAGTTTTGTCCATTCATATTCAATTTAAAGACTTCACCTGTATAGGTTACAGATACCCATTTGACATATATAACTTTTTCAGCAATAATTGCAAGTTAAGAACACCATTCAATTCCACTAAAAGCCCCCATAAATATACTCATCCGAAAACGAAAAAAAATCAAAATTCCCTAAATTTAGTCTGGCTAGTATTGCTTTCCCTAGAAACTCCATTTAGTTTAACTTTCCGATGTACGAAAAAAAAAGGCGAAAAAACTTACTTGCCACACTGCTGACAATATCTCTTGTTCTGCCCATCAAGAACCACAGTACTAGCATTCGCACACCGCAGACAAACCCTATGCCGTCTATGATACCCTTTCAGCTCAGTTATATCCGCCTCACACCCCGGCACTTGACACCGCGCCGTCGCCGCCGATACCCTCACCGTCCGGGCCCTCTTCTTCCCGGACCCACCCTCTTCTTCCTCCAGCTTCGCATCCATCTCCGGACACGAACAAGGAATCTTTCCCGCCAAAAAGTTCGAGCACGTCAGTCTAGGGTCCCGTTTCCGAACCCGCTCCAAATTGTCCGGAGACGATACCGGAATCGGAGAAATTGGCGGCGGCTCAGAGACCAGAGGAATTTCCAGTGGATGATCCGAGTCGAAGGAGATGGATAATTGATCGTCAATGTTGAAATCGAGGAAATCGGACCAGTCAAAAAGAGAATTCGAGAGTCCTTCGATGACTGGTTGAGGAACGACGTCGTCCATTTGATAAGCAATTGGTCGTTCTTGCGGTGGCTGTGGTGGTGGTGGTGGTGATGGCGGAGTTTGCATTTGTGTGTGAGTGAAGCGAAACCCTAATCTTTGAAGGTGGTGGTTGTGGGGGTGGTTGGGGTTGGTTGGAGAGTNAGTGAAGCGAAACCCTAATCTTTGAAGGTGGTGGTTGTGGGGGTGGTTGGGGTTGGTTGGAGAGTGGGTTTGCGGAGAAGGGACGGAAGCTAAGAGAGTCACCAACTGTCAAAGTCAGCAGTGGGTGGTGGCGGTTGGATGGTGTGTCGAAAAATCGTAAGATTCGTTTTGTGGGGTTTTATACAATGTGACCCCTACGTTGCATCATTGTNCGTAAGATTCGTTTTGTGGGGTTTTATACAATGTGACCCCTACGTTGCATCATTGTAATAAGGGTACTCCACATAAATGGGCCACGATGTTTAGTCTTTGTATTAAAGGTCAATTATAAATTTATATTCGTTCGAATATTAATTTCTAACTTCAAAAATTTAAAATTTTAATTTATACTTTTAAAAATATAAATTTGTATTAATATGCACAGTCGGCAATTTGCCGTCTAAAAATAATGAATAAATTACACATAAATCTCCTCATTTTTGTCACTTAATTATTTTGACTCATTCACATTTTAGGATATAAACAATTTTACATTGACTTAAAAAAAAAAATTTAAAAACTAGACTTGATAATTATAATCATTAATTTCATTGTAGGTCTCAGCATTTATTAGAACCTACTATCTATTCAATTATTGTGATTATTAAATCTATTTTTTAAGTCTAATTTTTAAGTTCATGCAGCATTACTCTTAGAATATTACTACTATATCATGACGTTTATACACGTGTAACACACAACTCCTAGTCGTTGATATATTTTAGTATAACCATTAAAAAATATGATTTTATCTTAAAAGAAAATTATAATTTCATACTATCATTTATTTTATGGGTATGTTATACTTTAAAGTTTAAAATCAAGTTGACCATTTGAATGTTTAATATAATGTAGATATTTATATAATATTCTTTATAACTAGTGCAATACATCACTTTGACGAAATTAATTTAATAATCATTTGAGAGAATATTTTTAGTCATATTTGAATTTTCAATGATGTAGGTGTAATATTTCAAATGTGAGAAGTCTAGATAATTAAGTAACAAGCATGAGGGGGTCTAGATATAATTTATCCATATAGTTTTAAACGGCAAATTGATAACCGTTAGCTTGAGGTACGCATTGATACAATTTTTTGATATTTGAGGGTACAAATCAAAATTTTTGATATTTGAGGATGTAAATTGAGATTCAAATGATTTTTTAGGAATGCAATTTGAGATTAACCCTTGTTTTAAATTGTCCCTTTTAACTTTTAATTTTTTTAATTTACTCTTGAGGTATTTAATTTATTTTAATCAGCACTTTCTGTTAGATTCAAACATTAGACAGGGATGAAATCCTATCGTGAATTGCAAATGAAAGCTAATGGAGGGTATTTTTGATATTTTAGGTGTTATATGCAGTGAACTTAATCTTTCCTAGTAGTCCATCACCTAAAATTGGCTAGTCATCACTGTCGGAGATCAGTGTTGAGATTTTAAAAACACCACCAAAAGATTTTGTAGAAGAAAAACTCAGTAATTATAGTGCTTTGATAAATCAATTAAAAAAATTCACTCTAAATTATAGTGAATGTCAATCCACAAAAAATCACTTCAAGTACTCTACTTAGTTAGTAATTCAAGTTATGGTGGGCTATCGTGACATCAATTTGGGTGGCGTACAAGAATCCAACAATGCCATGGTGGCGTGATTTGCTCTGTTGCGGTGGCATCAATTTGGACTCCAGTGGCTTGTGTCAATTTTAGGAAAATGTGATAATAGATTTTCGGTAAAGATGAAGAGAAGGAAAATCATTAGGGCTTAACGAAAAATCAGGAAAGAGCAAGCAAAAATCGATTGCTCGTCCTTGTTGTGGCCAGCAAAGGGAGGAGAATAAATAATGTTGGCGTTAGGGTTTTATCCCACATAAAATATCAAAAATGCCCTCCAACAACTTTTATCTATAGTTCTCGTTAGGGTTTCATCTCCGCTGAATTTAATGGACGGTACTGATTAAAATGAATTAAATAGTTCAAGGAATAAATTAAAAAAGTTAAAACGTTGAGGGAGCTATTTATAATAAAGATTAAAGTTCAAGGGCAATATATGTGACTTACCCTTGTAATAATTGGTGTTGTCCTTTTCGTTTGAACCTATTTGAAATATTTTTATTATATATAATTAGGGAATTTTCATTTTTTGGCTGTTAGACAATAAAGAAACAACACCTTTATAAATTAAGAGTCAAAAATAAAAATATTAACATAAATGTGTTATAAAATTATGAAGAATAGCATTAAGAACGAATATACTTGTGAAAAAAAATGGAGGTAATACAAATAAAAAATAAATTAATATGTTAGCTATCGGAGAAACATTATAATATGTTAGCTATTGACGATAAGTATGGAGAAAGACCAAAATAAATTTTCAATGACATAATAAAATATATGATATCCTATATTGTAAGAAAAATTATTAGAATCTAATTTGAATATATTTTTACTTTAAAATTTATTTTAATTTTAATTCATTTGAAAAAATAAAAGAACAGTTCAGATTTAATCTATTTTTAATTTAATGGCCTAAATTTCATCACCATTATTCTAAATTAATCCAAAGGCTGACAATGCATTCCACGCGAAAAACTTATACCGCCCAAACCTTTTGCACAGTGCCTAACTCAATTGTCAGACACAGAACTCCCCAAGGGCCAACGTCTCTCTTTCTTCTTCTTCTTCTTCTTCTTCTCTCTGTCCGTCTTCTCCTTTGCGACCTCTATCTTCCCTCTCAACCTTCACCCGCCACCCCATCGATCTAGGTAAGCTCTCCTCTCTTTCTCCCCTCTGTTTCTCACCTCCCTCTCTACACACGCACACACAGTCACACACACACACACGCGCAAAGAGTCGAATAATCTAGGGTTTTGAATTGGGTGTTAATTAAAGGTTTTGAAATTGGGTGTTAATTCATCTCCCCTTTCTGTTTTCCTCCATTTCTTTTGTCTTCACCTCCTCTGCCACACCATGTCATTGCCCATGTCCCACCATAGACCCACCAAACCCATCCCACAGCCCACGAAACCACACCAAAATAGCCGAATTAGCACTAATTTTTTATTTTAATTTTATTTAAATCAGATCAGTGTGTGTTCTTTGTTAGAAGAGAAAGTTTTTTTCTTGGTAGACTGTTAATCTGCAGAGTTAAAAATCAATCTTTTATCCTTTTGGTTTCTAAATCCTTCACATACTTCCACCGACTTAGAGATTTATTCACATACTTCCACCGATTTTTTCTGCTGTTGAATGGGAGTTAATTTTTCGGAAAAATCATGGCCATGGGAAAGTTGTTTAAGGATTCTCTTAAAGCTCTCGAAGCTGATATTCAGCTTGCCAATACTCTGTAAATCTCTCTCTCTCTGATTTTTTTTCCTTCGTTTTTTTCTATCTCTGAATTGAATGTTGCTGTAAAGCTTTATTATCCTTGTTTTTTTTTTCCGGCTTTGTTTTGGATTGATGATCATGGGAAATTAGTTACCAGTACTTTCTAAATCTACCTATTTATCTCTTTCTAAATCCACCTCTTTGTCTCTGATTTTTTTTCCTCTTTTTTTTTAATCTCTAATCAAAAGTTGTTGTGAAGTTTTGTCATTAATTTTTTTGTGTTTTGTTTGACTCAAAATCATGAGAAATCTGTTGGGGAGCTCTTATTCTATACCGTTTTAAATTCCATAATATTTGTATATGCATTAATTCATCTGATTGGGGGGTAAAAATGCCTGACAGACCCAAATGAAAAAAAACTGTTAGCCCGTGTTTTTTGGACATCAACTATTTATAGTGGTTTGATGAATTTCGGTGATGGGTAATAGGTGATTGAATTGTATGGTGTTGGATGGAAGGAAAAAATGACATCAAATGTGGGGATGCATGAGGAACACTTCCTTCACAATGTTTTCAGGTAGTGGGTTTTTAGTTTCTATTTCTCTTTTCATGTTTATCTTTACTTGATTTTACAAGTTTTCCTATAAAAGCTCAATATGTCCATCAGAGGGATTGTAGTGGATCATAAGAGTTTTTGGGAAAGAAAATGAAATTTTTGAATATGGGTATCATACTTTCTGTATAGTTCCAAATTCAGTAAAGTAGTAGTTTTGATTCAATTTGTCCTATACTCCTATTGAATTCCACCTTCATGGTTCATTTTGGTTCATTTCTTTTCAATTTTGCAATTGAATTGAGCAGTTAAAAGTAGAATTGTTGTTGTCACAAATTAATCTTTCTTGGTTTTTGATGCTTGAATTTCAGGTTATGTCTGATCTTAAGTTTGAATTGCAAATTAAGCTCTCCAGTTATTGTGTCTGATCTTAAGTTTGATACGTGTTTAATTAATGATCTGCAGGCCTCAATCGATGTGGTAAGGGTTGCAAGCTGAGATGGTTGAATTATTTGACACCGAACATTAAGAGAGGGTATATCAGACCAAGAAGAAGACTTGATCATTAGGCTTCATAAGCTCCTAGGAAACAGGTCATATATCAACTCCAAATTCTAAAATCTATTTTGATATCAGTTTTTTTTTTTTGCGGAGTTTGATTTGATCTGTTTAAATGTTCTGATCATCTAGGTGGTCGTTGATTGCGGGAAGATTACCAAGTCGAACTGATAATTAGATCAAGAACTACTGANTATTTTGATATCAGTTTTTTTTTTTGCGGAGTTTGATTTGATCTGTTTAAATGTTCTGATCATCTAGGTGGTCGTTGATTGCGGGAAGATTACCAAGTCGAACCGATAATGAGATCAAGAACTACTGAATTCTTATTTGAGCAAGAAAATAAGCCAGAAGGAGAAACAAAGTGGTGGTTCAAAGAGAGATGGCTCCACCAGGTCCAGGACTGAGAAGATAAGGGTGATAGAGACGGTTAATCATGGAGAGGTGAGAAAAGAGGAGAACAATATCTCCTCTACTAGTGGTCATGATCAGGACTCAAACTTCAGTTTTGATGTTGATGAGTTCTTTGACTTTTCCACCTATGTTTACACTTTTGAATGGCTTAGTAGATTCCTTGAATCCGAGGATGGTTTATGTGAATTATGATCATGAATTAATTCTGAACTTTGTCCTGTCAATTAGTTTGATGCTTCACTTAAGTTTGATGCTTGAGTTGTAGAAGTAGACAATGAATGAGCCAATGGGGCTAATTTCATCCCATGTGTTTCTATGTTACACGGTTGCAATTGTCTTGATTACAATGAATAACTAGAATTCTATTTCTATGTTACACGGTTGCAATTGTCTTGATTACTAAGTTGTGCTAACAACCATTTCAATGTATCTTTTTGACTTCATCTGCATAGTAGTTGGATATCAAGAACTCATCCACTATTTGTTTTTTGAGAAATGAGATTTGTATTCATGTTGAAGTTGCTTTCTTTTATTTATTTCTTTTACTTTATATTTCTTTCTTTTATTCCATCGCTTTCGTAGCTGCATTAATATTGACGCAAAATAAACGGATGGTTAAACTGTAATTTTTTTTTTGTAACTAAGGGATCATAAAATAAGAAATGTGTGTGATTTCATGCGGGTTTATTTGTTAAAAGTTTGTTGTTTGGTCATTAATTGCATGAATATTAGTTGGTCTATGTTGTGGTAGTTAGTAAATCTTTTTATTAAGGCAGGATTATGGTTGGTGAGTGCGATGACTTTGGGGTTCTGTCAAAAATTAGTGACCCCAATTAATTTCAACAAGGTTGAAAATCAACCAGAGCTTGAGTTTCAACTTTTTTTTTTGGATTTTAATTTTTTAATTGACGATTATTTGACTTATACAGGGTGAATGAATGAATGTACTCAGTTATTCATATTAGCTTAAGTTTAGTGTTAGTTCAATTAATATTTGTATCTTATTTATTTTGGTATTAGATATTTGAGTCATTATATTGCAACACTTGATAAATAGTGGAAACAACAATATGTGATGTGATGAGATTATTGATGCAAGATAGTTTTTATTTACGTATAAGTTTGATAATGAATTGTGTACTGGATCATGTTTCTTAAGAAAATTTTGTCGATTTTTTTTTAAATAACAGATTGTTTATATTAATTATTGAAATTTTGTGTGTTACACCAACTATTTTAATATGAGATTCATATGTGTAGTTATAATTACATGTAATATGTTATTGGTAGTAGTGCTACTGAACAGATGATTGAATATTTAAATAGTGGATAATGGTATAATGAAAGATATATTTCTCAATGTTCTCGGCGCTAAGTTATTTGATATGCCTTTTAATTGATCATAATATTTTTTTATTAAAGGCACGGGCAATTACTAGTTATCATAATATAACGACAAAACAAGAAAATAAGTGGATAAAGTAAATTCTATTTTTTTTTTAACATTGGGCAGATACTATCTTACATGGAGTGATAACAACCCTTTGAAGGTTAGAATATAATGAATTTATCTTTCATGAATATCTTAGTCCTGACATGGATGATTTGTCTTTGACCGAACTGAGGAAGGAATTTGTGAAGTGTACGAAAAANCTGAACAGATGATTGAATATTTAAATAGTGGATAATGGTATAATGAAAGATATATTTATCAATGTTCTCGGCGCTAAGTTATTTGATATGCCTTTTAATTGATCATAATCTTTTTTTATTAAAGGCACGGATAATTACTAGTTATCATAATATGATGACAAAACAAGAAAATAAGTGGATAAAGTAAATTCTATTTTTTTTTTTTACATTGGGCAGATACTATCTTACATGGAGTGATAGCAACTCTTTGAAGGTTAGAATATAATGAATTTATCTTTCATGAACATCTTAGTCCTGACATGGATGATTTGTCTTTGACCGAACTGAGGAAGGAATTTGTGAAGTGTACGAAAAATGTCCCAAACATCCCTAATTGTTGGGGAAAAAAAAAAGATAATTCTTTGAAAATGTAGAGTCCATTTTGTCTACTTCTTTAATTATTATTAGATGATTCACGTGGTGTAATTGTTATAACAAATATTTTATTTGTTAAAAGGCAAAGGCATGAGGGGTGGAGGAAGAGAATATAAATTTCAATTTCAATTTACGAGTAAATTAAGGGATAATAATTTATAATTTAATAAATTAATTTAAAATTACTTTCAACATTTTTTTAGTTTTTATAATTGAACAATCTGTTAAGGGTATTTTTATGATTTTAAAAAATGGTGGACTCAAGTACTTATTAATAGGATAAAAAATAGACTTATCACAAAAAAAGTTTACATGATGAATTTAAATTATTATAAGGTAATTCAAGAAGACTCAATATATTATGTGCCATGAATCTGACAGTCCACTGTTTTGATGGGCCAGTTTGGGCTTGGAATTTTCTTCATAAATATGGATAAGTCTATTAAAATTATTTTAGATTTAACAATGTTTAGTTACCCAATCAATTTGTCGGTAAAGGAAATTAGTGTCAGATTTAAGCAAGTTCGTATCAAAAAGTAGTTCAATTTATTCATTAATTTGCGTATAATGAATCATATTATATTACATTCGTATTATTTATAAATTGTGTAATTAGTATATAAACAAATCGTGTTGTGTATTTTTTTTTATTAATTTCACTCCATAAATGTTTTGTTTATGAATTGTGTCATATCGAATTCACTCATTTACAAAATAGATGATTTAAAGAAAATTTAAACCCTCTAATTTTGTATTATACTGTATTTGTATCGAATTAACGGATGGTGATATATCTTAACACCCAAAGATGTTAATACGATACAAATCTAACTCGAATAGAGGCTGGCATTGACACCGGCCCAGCCCATCCCATCCCGCCCCATTTTACAGCCATGGATGGAACTCGAGGGTTATTCTGGGTATTTCACTATCGCTCCCATCTCCCTCCAAAAACATTCCACACTAGTCGGATTTATAATAGGGTTAGGGTTTTCAAAGCCTTATCGAACACTACAGAGAGAGAGAGAATTTGGAAAGCCATGGGACGGTACAGAAGCCGAAGCAGAAGCTATAGCCCAGTGAGACGCAAGCGCTACGATGACCCTCGCGAAAGGCCTCGCAGAGACCGTCGCTCCCCTGCTCCTTCTGGTCTTCTTGTCCGAAACATCTCTCTTAACGCAAGGTCTTTTATCACAGTTATATGATCTCTTTCATATCCCATGTCTTCGATTTGTATATACATATGTACATGCTGGTATAGGTTTTTATAATCTTTTTTAATGTTCTTTGTCTACTGGGTTGGTTGTGTATTGCTTCTGATTTATTTTCTGAATGTAATTATTGAGAAATACCCGAATANCCTGCTCCTTCTGGTCTTCTTGTCCGAAACATCTCTCTTAACGCAAGGTCTTTTATCACAGTTATATGATCTCTTTCATATACCATGTCTTCGATTTGTATATACATATGTACATACTGGTATAGGTTTTTATAATCTTTTTTAATGTTCTTTGCCTACTGGGTTGGTTGTGTATTGCTTCTGATTTATTTTCTGAATGTAATTATTGAGAAATACCCTAATACNTACTGGTATAGGTTTTTATAATCTTTTTTAATGTTCTTTGTCTACTGGGTTGGTTGTGTATTGCTTCTGATTTATTTTCTGAATGTAATTATTGAGAAATACCCGAATACCCCATAAAATTGCGTTCGGGTGTTCAATAACCTTGTTACGTTTGAATTATTTGAAGATTTTAGAGTAGGAAAATGGTGTTTCCTATTCATCCTCTCTTGTTTAAAAAATGCACTAAAGTAACATTATACAGAAGTATCTGAGGTTTTTTTTTTCTGTATTGTATATGTTTGTAAACATATATTTCCAGTAGTTTTGGCAGACAAATGAATTTAGGATAAAAGAGAAAATTGTAAGGGTGTGTTTGGTTTGTGTTTTGAAAACTGTTTTTTGTTCTCAAAACACACAAATACACAAATTTGTAAGATGATGTTTGGACAGCAATTTTCAAAAACAATTTTTCAAAAAAAGTGGGAATTGAGAACAAAAACTAGAGAACATCATTTAGATGTTTTATGAGTTTTCAAGCCAAAAATAGAAAATAAGGAAAACAATCCCACTCTTTAATGAGGTCTCCACTTCGAATTCCCTTAGCAGCAAAATTAGCCAGGCTATTTTTTTTGTCTTCCTCTCTCCTTGACGTTCTCTTTCTGTAATGGTGTCTCCCCTTTGACTGAACCTGTAAGATTCTCTGGCGAATCACAGATCTGTGTAGCTCCCGAAAATCACAAAGCTCCGACAAATCACGCAACCCATCTCCTCTCTCTCTCTCTCTCTCTCTCTCTGTGTGCAACAGATCTGTATAGATCTTTGTATATATACAGATCTGTGTTCAAATCTGTATATATACACAGATCTATGTGTATATATATATATGCACATACATATATATGTGTGTGTGCGCTATGAGAAGATATTGTATATATACACAGATCTATGTGTGTGTATATATGTATATGTGTATATATGTATATGTGTATATATATGTGTGTGTGTGTTCTCTCTCTTGTGGGTGTATATGTTTGTGCTGTGTAAGAAGACAATGGAGAGAGATGCTGTGAGCAGATATGTACTTGTGGGTGTGTGTGTATTTTACACCATTTGTAGATTACTGTCCAAACAGGTTTTACTATTTTTTGTACTTTAAAACTATTTTCAAAATCATATAACCAAACAAGTTTTGTAATACAAAAATATCAAAAAATACTTTTTTAAAACTTTTCTCAAAAATTGTATTCGGATACTGTTTTTAGAGATGGAAACGAAATAGGCCCCAAGTTTTTTTAGGTGGCAACTCTAATATGCGACTGTCTATTTTTTCCCTTTTCCGTGGGAACTCGACTATGTCATCTAATGTTCTTTAATACTCTTGCCATATGTGTTTGAGAGAGAGTGAAAAAAATTAAGTGTTTACAAAGTTTAGGTTCCCATAGTTTATTAGTGCATGTACAGTTTTATGTGAGCCTGCTAAGCTCAGAAGTTAAAGCATCGTTTCGTGGTTCAATTGTCGTAGGGACTAAGGAGGCTTTTTCTCTCTTCGAATTTTCACATGTTTGATAATGTCCCTTTGGAATGGAAGGCAACTGAGAAAACATCTTTCCCATTTTTAGAAGTCATGAATTTATTATGTTACAAGAACCTCCAACTATGTCACTCTATATAACACATGGAATATAAGAAAGGGTCTGCATTGTTATCCAATTCATCTCATTATTCATTCCTCAAGGGGGAAAATAACTTATCGTACCACATGATGTTCTGCAGGCCTGAAGATCTGAGAGTTCCATTCGAACGATTTGGTCCAGTAAAGGATGTGTATCTTCCAAAGGATTACTACAGTGGGTATGCTTCTTTATTGAGTTATATTTCATAGTTTGTTTTTGAAGTTATGATGCTACTGGAGTCTATTTAAACTTCTATTATTGTGCTAAGAACAGGGCAGCAAAATATTGGTTGAAAATATGCTAGATTTGAGTGGGTATTTGACANAAGTTATGATGCTACTGGAGTCTATTTAAACTTCTATTATTGTGCTAAGAACAGGGCGGCAAAATATTGGTTGAAAATATGCTAGATTTGAGTGGGTATTTGACTATGGAGGCAGCTTAGGATTACTTTTTTTAGTTGAAAATTTAAATAGCATGAATTCATAGTTTAAAGAAGTTCAGAGGGGCATGAAAGTATCTTAAAACTACTAGGCTAGCAAGATAAAACCATAAATGTTTATTTATCTATCACAAGAGCTTTCACTGATACAAGATAGAAATAGTTTGATATTTCAAACTGTGTTGCCGAAGGAGCTTAAGTGTACACCTATCATGAGCAGCTGTGTTACTTCCTAGTTTATCTCTCACTATGAAACTGTCTTTAATAAGCTCTTAATTTTTTCAGAAGAGTTCTAAGTTAACTTGGGCAAATGATAGATTCTGCAAACAATATGATCAAAGGCACAAATGCTTTCATGGTTGGGATGGCAATGAAAGCTATTTTCTTGCACTTGAGTTGCAATGTTCTTTACATCATTGTAGCATAGCATTCTAGTTGAGCTTTATCATTGGATTGTAAAAGGGGATCTTCATCCTATCTGACTGCTTTTTGGCAGTGCGATAGGATGAAGATCATTTGTTGTTGTGCATGTGGTGGTCGTGGGGATGTTGTGTGGAGCAACTCTTGCAATAGTGGTGGATGTTCATGATTTAAATATCATGTTGTCTAGTCAATTATGATGTGCGATCTACCTCGCTGTACTGAAGTCATGAGAAGGGGAAAGACTTTCCAATGCCTCTCTCAGTCTCCCGCCTAATTAATGAGTTTTATTGTCTGGGTCACTTCATTGAGAATGTAAGATGAAGTATCTCTCTCGTGTGCCTGTTGGATTCGAATACCTATTGGTTGAGACAGTTTTGGTAATGGGGATCTTAATTTCAACTTATAGTTCTGTTAATAGAGCTTAAAAAAATCTGATTTTGATTTCATGGAAGTGATATAAAGTTAGCACACTATTCACAGAAATACATATATGAAGATTTATGCCCATGTATACGTAGACAAGTGCAACCTCACTACATACTGATTCGGAAATTTCAGTGATTTCCTAAGTGAAACAAGGAATCACCCATTACAGGTTTTGGATACTCACTACTCATTCCTTTTACACTCATTGTAAAAAAATATGGCATCAACTTTGTCAGACGGTTTTTTTTTTTTTTAATATGTGCTACAGCGGAGTCAGACGTGTTTGCCTAAGGGCCCTGGAGCTCAAATTTATGAAGTTATAGAATCTGAAAAATGACTTTCGGTAGAAAATAAGGTCACGTATTATATTTCTTTTACAGTCTCACATGACAAGAGCTACTTTGGCTAGTTGCATGATTCTTTTTTGCTTAATTTGTGTCTATTCTTGGGTGTAAGATTTGTCAAAATAATCTGTTCTTGCTTTAAAAAGAAAAAGAAAAAAAGCAATACCATTTTTGAGGCAGTAGACTTCAAGTTTTTTTTAATAATATTCCTTGTAAGGGAGTCACTGATCATTGCCGCACATGTTAATAAAATTACCCCAGCTGAGTTCCCTTTGTCTTGATTGTAATTTTTTGCCTTGGCTTAGATAGGGAGCAATAAATTTTTGTTTGCGCATACTTTTCTCCATTTGGTTCAGGTTTTTCAGTATAAAATTTTTCATACAGGGGTCTCATGGACTCCATCAATTTGGCCTGCATGGGTCTGGCAGTATGTTGAAATTGGGGATTTGGTTTATGTGACTTAAACTAGAAAGTTGAGGCAATTTATGATGTCTTCAAAGTTCAAACATGGAATTGGTGTTATTGGTCATTCTGGTGAGATGTTTAGCTCTGTTTCTCTAGCAAACTCTGTGGGTAAAAGTAGAGATGATTGGTGGATTATCTGGACTCTTGCTTAATACTTCTTGTTCTTTTATATTAGGCCATAGTTTTCTGTGGTTTAACATAGTTCTTACTTGAATTCTCAGGGAACCTAGAGGCTTTGGATTTGTGAAGTTTCGTTATGCTGAAGATGCTGCTGAGGCGAAGCAACAACTCAATTATACAGTAATTGGAGGACGTGAGATAAGAATTGTTTTTGCTGAAGAGAACAGGAAAACTCCGCAGGACATGCGCAGAATGACGCGCCCAACGTATTATTTTAATTTGTTGTTCTGTTCTGACACTGTTGCACCATTTATTTCCCACAGAAAGTTTGATTTATCTTTTCAAGCAGTTGCTTACACAATATTTACTTTTATGTATAGTGGTCGAGGAAGCCACAGGAGGCGAAGTCCTTCAAGGTCTCCAAGACGCCGATATCACTGTCAGTTTGAACTTTCAGCCGTTTTACTTGTTTGACCTTTTGACCAAGATTTTTTTTTCCCTCTTATAGCTCGTGCAATTAAATATTGATCGACACAGCATTTCTGATATCAAATATTGTTGTCACATGTCTTCTGTTTTTCTTTCCTCACTAAATTATTATAGTTTCTTTTGTGGCAGCTTACTCGCGCTCACCTTCTGAAGAAAGGCATGACTCAAGGTCGGTTTTTATAGATCTGCACTAGGAGTTGTAGTTGCGCTCCTATATCATATATATTTGGGCATTCTTGTACTGTCTTTTATACTCCCTGCTCCTTTTATGCCCTTCATAATACTTTATCAAACTTAATTTCCATCTCCATCTCCATCTCTTTCCCCACCCCCATGGACTAGGGTGTCTTCCTCTCCACATTCTACGAAGCAGTTGTAGTTATCTTTCTGGTCCTTGTGCAGTTCCACTAGATCTGGTAGTACAAAACAGCTACATGTTATTGGAACCATGTACACTTATAATACATTTTAACCAATTGCATAACTGTCTTCCAGTAAGTACTGGGGTATTCAGTCATAGGAGTGGCACTGGATGCCTATAGAAGAATGTGGTTTGTTTCTTTTGCAAAGCCACAGGTTTTTTTTTTTTTTTTT